TTTTTTTTTTCAGTCATACACGCCCAAAAAACTTGATTTTCAGAATACGGCTTTCTTGATCATTACATCTTATTTTTTTAGCCACCGAAAGAAGCAGGTATAACTCTCAAGGACCTGGCCCTTTGGCTACGCGAGCAATCATTTTTAGAAATCCTTTTTCGGGATAACCTTCACCACTTATCTTTTTGTGAAAGGTATTACATTATTTTTTTTTAAGATAAAATATAACGATTTTTCACTCTGATACCAGTAGGAATTCATTGGTTTTATCATTGTTATTATTATGTTTTGTCAAATGCTTTTTTGTGACGTCTCTCTTTTTTCTCCCTAACTTTATTTATTTGATATTTTTTGGCTTTTTGACTCTGGTTTTCAGAGTACGGTTTCTTTTGGCTTATTTAAGCCTGTTTTAACAAGATAGGAGTGTAGCTATCTGGTTTTTTTTGTTGTTTTTGCGTATACTTTTTTGAAGTTATTTTTATTCATCAAGGATTGAACGAATACTTCGGGTGCTTCTCCAGAATGACGCTATTATGCCACAAGAATTAGATATTATTTGGAATGCACAACGAGGAAAACATGACGCTATTCAAAGGAATCTTCATGATCTCATAGCGAAGCTTATTAATTTATTCAGCAATGAGCTTCAAGAGAAGTTATTCGCTTTAATGAAGGTTGTTATATTTTATTTCGAAGTATTTGCCAAAAGATGAGACTTGTTTATAATGTTTTTGGAAGTAGGACTTACAAGATGTCTAATGTAACCCATTAATCATTATTATGTTGCTGTTGTGTTAGGGAGTAGCTGTGATAAAAATCACTCTCATTTTAATAACCAACACATTTTACATGGTCTAGTCTGAAAGTTTAACCAAACATTTAAAAGATTGGACATGATGAATCATAATTTATTGTCTTTGTTACACTTGGTTGCTTAAAAACAGTTTATTTTTTTTACAGTTTTAAGAAAATCACTATTCAGGAAAGTTGGTCAGAATCTTCCCCTCGTGAACGCACTCTTCTCTTAGACTTAATTCGTCGAATTGGCAATGATTATAGTTTAATTTCTGAAAAGGTTTGATTCCTCACACTGTTTATTTGGGAAGTTCTCTTACTTTTTTTATACCTGTGGTTGTTATTTCTATTCGGATAATTAGTTGGTGCACAGTGTGTTAGAAAGCTATTTTTTGTTGTTACAAGTTGAAATACTCTTTACTCTTTTGCAGAACCTTACTCTAAAATCGCTTTCTTTACTTTGGGATTTGTTCCGTGATGAAAGGCTTCCTGTAGAAGTGGGGGATGCAGCTTTAGAAGCACATTTTACTGTGATCGAGTCATTAGGGCGCTCTGATGCTCTATTCAAACAATATATTGACAAATGCATTGAGGAGCTTCTGAATGATTCAGGTTTTTTCGTTTGCATATAGTTTGAACCGCTCTTTAATTTTTAAGCATGTACTCACATGTTAACGGTTTTTTTTGGCTATAGTATTTCTCTCTCCATTATTTCCTCATTTGGAACGTATTTCTTTTGAGGAAGAGTCCTGCGATGTTTGTTTTTACACCGATAGCCTTTCATTTTTTCCTATAGAATTATAAAACTCTTTTGAATAATTCTTATTTAATTTTTCATGTTTGTTGGGGGCTATTTTAGAGTTATTTCTACAGTTTTACAAAAATCCAGTTTTATAAAATTTATTGGTGCTCAAGAATTAGTGAAACTAGTAATGCTATCCTGTTTGTATATTTCCATAACTACGGGATTTTCTGCATGTTCGTTTTTTCAGTATTTGTTCTCCCAACACTTAATCACATGCAGAAAATCTTTCGGCTTGTACCTGAGGGATCCTTCACGATGCAAAGCAAAACGTCAAGGTTTAACGTGTTTCTTTTTATCATTTCCTTCTTTCATAGTTCACTAAGTTACCGGCTTATCTAAGTGAAAAATGCTAATAAGTATTGTTAATTTCTATTGTGACTGGATAGTTTTCATTAGAGATCTTTACTGCCTGTTCTCGTCTTATTTTTTCCTGCTTTTTTTAACGTGTTAAGTTTCGTGATATGTTTTTAAAAAGC